AAGGTATCAAATGTATGTAGCTTTATTGGTGATGATAAAAAATAGCACAGCAGACGTCATCAGGAGGTTGCCTCTGATGGTGCAAACTGAAAGCCGGTTAGTGGAGGATGTTAAAAATATGACAGGGATATTAGAGGGCTGTGTGCAGTCAGCACTGAATTTGGGGTATCTCGATCACGTAGTTTCAAATATGTACCTATGTATTTTCACCTTTTAGAAGAAGAAAAAGATCAATGTTTAAATACTATTGATCCAAACGTTTTAAAAATTAGGAGTAGTTGGCGGACCCCCAAAATATGACCCATGGACCCCTAAGGGGTCCATGAACCACAGGTTAAGAAACCCTGTGCTAGAGCATTAGATTTCATTAGACTTACGGCTAGAGAGTCGAAAAAGAGTAAAAACTGATAACAAACAAATTCCATATTTAGATTTTATGCTGGAATAATGAAACATCCATAACAACAAATTATTTTTAGCGGGTACAGTACATTTAGCATACCTGCCAACTCTTTTGGATTTTCCCGAAGATTTTATTTTCATATTTAAAGTGGTAGTAAGTATATACTATTTTTTCTTTTATAAACTTAATTTTTAGATGATTTTGATCAGCACTAGTCTTACAAAAATTAAGCACATATATTAATATGCGTTACTATCATGGTTGTTAACTTAAGTTTTCTCAAATACAACGTATTTGTTTGCTTAAAATTGAAGTTTTAATTTCATTTTAATACCACTGGGAAAAATGATAATGGAAGGGATTAAAAGTTGGCAGGTAAGCATATATTGAATTGCTTCATTGCTGAGAAAATATTAATAGCAGGAAACTGTTTATTGTTTAAGAATAGATTCACTCCTCCTGAAAAATCTATTAATGAAATAGTTCTAATTCCAGTTTTTTCTCCTTTCCGCCTAGCTTTCAAGCCTGATTGGACTACTAAACATGGCGTGTCTTGAGCTGACAAGTCCGTAAGAAATCAAATGCGAGGAAAAGAATTCTTACTTACTTACTGTAGGAAAAAAATTCTTACTTACTTACTGAATTTCTGAAGAAAAAAATCGTCTGTAAAAAGCAATATTTATTATTTTTCGATCAGTTTCTTTAAATGAGAGTTGGCGAGGTTGATTTAAGTTCGCAGTGGAAAGTTTAACATACATTTGGGGAGCACTTATGTACAAACAAACTAGCTCCATACGCATGTCTATCTTCTTAGCTTATAAAAAAATATAATATAACTTAATTAAAACTTTAGGAACTACCACTTTTTATAATAAAATGTATTTTATATAAAAATTAAATAAATTTTAATATTGGACTTTAATATCAATGTTTCAAAATTTGATAAAAGTTTTTACAAGCTGTAAATTCGCTAGTGAAGACTGAAAATATAATAAAAAGTAATTTTCTTCATTACAGCTTCCTACTAAGAGTGCAAACAAGACGGAAAACGGAAAAACTGGAAGTTAAATAATTTTTTTGCTGCTTTCGGAAGGAGTAAAAAATATATATCTCTTAATCTATTCTTAATTATAAACTATATCAAGAGTTGCTGACTTGCTCCGCCCTCGATTTTTAGAGTTTTCGCGCAGCATTACTTCTAAATAGTTCGAAGAATTACGTGATACGAGTTACAGTTAACCCTTTAATGGGCCCTTTATTTCTAGTTAAGGTAAATTAAAGTATTTCTGGAATTGAAATTGTTTTAAGAACAGTAATTGATATAATAAAAAAACAACTCATTTAGTTTATAAAAATGCCATTTTTTTGGTGGTAAATGTATTTAACATGACCTATTTGGAACTTACTGACTTTTATTTTTCCTTATTTATAAAATAAATTCTTTAAATGCGACAAACTTCAAAAGGAATTATTTATTTTATAACTTTTATACGTTATGGTGTCAAATGGTTACCAATTTTATTCAAACTCACTTCAAGAAAGCTGAAGTTATTGAAAAATGGAAACCTAAATTAAAAGTGGTAAAACGTTGTGGCAAGTATACTTACCACGGCCTTCTAAAGGGTTAGGTCAAGAAACCTAATGAATTTACAGCGCTCTACGCAGATGGTACTGCAATAATTACTAAATAATTAATTTATTCCAATCCAATTAATCATATTCAAGTCAGAGGCAGAAAAAATTAATCAAGTCGAGGTCTGGTGCGCTAAATGGAAAAATAAATTACATCCAGAATAAAAGTCAACTAATAGTATTTAATAGCAGGAAAAAAGGTAATAATTTCCGTAATCTTAAATTATATGATCAAATTATCCATTAAATCAAGAACGCTATATATCTTGGCATCGATATCATTACAATAGGTAACGGTTCCCACTGGGCTCTGAACTCTATTTTAAAAGCAAGCTTTTCCCTTGATCTTAAGATGCAAGAGGACTATTTACTTTATGGCCATTTTTTTGATCTATATTATATAAAACGCTAATACGTGTGTATCAATAAAACCGATGATATTTCTTTTCTCGCGTTGGCAACAGTTTTCATTTTTAATTGAGAGGATTCGGTGCGCAACAGCACGTAGTGAGCATCATATGGCTAATCTATATTATATAAAACGGTAATACGTTTTAATTGATAGGCTTCGGCGCGCAAGAGCACGTAGTGAGCATCATATGTCTAATCGGGTGAATTCTCACCGAATTATCAAAAAAAATTCTCACAAAATTATCTTCATCGAAACCGATGCTTTACATCCGGCGTTCAGCACTATTTCATATTGTTTTACAGCACATTGTTTTAGCCCTTTGGTGGAAAAGACTTTAAAACAAAACTTACAACAGTTACTTTTCTCAACAACTGAAATTTAGAATAGTGTGATTAAGAAAAATATGCGAACTGTTTTCAATTTCAAATTAATATTGAAATGCACAGGTTTAGAATTTTCTACAGTGAAAAGTTTTCGGAACTTCAGTGTTCAAAAGTATACAAAAGCTAGACGTTAAGAACGTATCCAATGCGCGAGCAAAACGAGCATCGGATTGCGAAGCAATCCGAAATGAACTGCGAAAGCAGTTCTGGGGGTTGGCGAGCGCCAGCGAGCAGGGGGCGAAGCCTCCTAGTTATTATTTAATTTTATTTTTTATGGCCATATTTTTTTTAAATTTTCGTCACTTAACTTCCCTGAGCTCTTTTCAAGTCTTATATATATTTAATTGTTTATGTATCGTGAAAAAACGTATTAAACGTTTAGATGTAAAATTTTCAGAGTGGTATCCATTTTGTGCCAGATGACGAAGAGTCGTACACGAAATGTTAAAGATTAAATTACAAGGGTGAGCAATTTGTATAATAAATGCTGAATTCAATTTTCAAGTTGTTTTAGAAAGAAATAAGATGCTTATTTCAAAACTATAGTTTGTTTTATTTAGCAAGGTCCATATATCTCTAAAATCTTCATCTTATATCAGTACAAAATTTGTGTAGTAAACAATTCCCCACTGCTCTAAATAGTTGTAATTCTAATCATAAGTTAATTTTTTTTTACTGGCTAAATTATTCAACTCTCTTCCTCAACTGCTGACCTTGATTTTTTGACTCTAAGTCTTGAAAAAATTCCAAATAGTTTAGTTAATTATCTATCTAGTTTTTCAGTTTCTCTAAAAGTGTGGAATTCTGTATTAATTCAACTTCCTCACCTTGCTCTCCTCAAGTTCCCACACAGCTTCCTCATACTTGTTTCTTTTCTGATTTTTATTACTATCTTGTTCAAGCTTGTTCCTCTTCTCTTATTGGCTGAAGTATTTTTCCCCTTAATGCAAACTGTTTGTCAAGTGTTCTCTTCTGCTAATTTGTTTTCTTCAAACAGATTAATATTTTTGTTAACATGTTGAGCGCCAAACTAATTTTACATGTCTTGCCTGTCAGGCCACAACGGTAATTAACTACAAACTAAATTTGCAAATATTAGACAGATTTTGGTAGTTTTTTAAAGGTTTAGCGTGACATATCCAAAAAAAGTGATGAATTATATAAGCCTACGAAATGTTTAGAAATAGTAATGGATAAAAACCTAGAAAATTGAATTTATTAAACCAAGAATCACTATAATTAAGTAAATTTTGAATAAATTTTCTGCAATTCTATTAACGAGTGTAAATTTTATAGTTCTATATCATGTTATACGCTGTCAGCCAGCTGTTTTTCGCGGACTAAATGTAATTTCAGTGTCAGCCACCGGTGGTTGACGCGGCCTAAATGTAATTTCAGTGTCAGCCACCGGTGGTTGACGCTGACTAAATTTAATTTCAGTGTCAGCCACCGGTGGTTGGCGCGGCCTAAATGGAATTTCAGTGTCAGCCACCGGTGGCTGACGTGGCCTTAATGGAAAGTCCAGTATCAGTCACCGATGGCTGACGCGGCGCTCACAGTGTTAATGGAACCAAAAAGATGGCAAGTGAGTAAATTTCAAATTAGCCGGAGAAATTATCACAAAACCGAGCGAGTTGCAAATAGTATTTTTATTTTGAACAATTTTAATAATTAAAAGAAATATTTATTTAGTGTTCTGCATAATAGATTTAAACGTTTGTAACAGAACCCATCAAATACCGTCTACAGTCGCAGTTTTTACATTTATTACCTATCAATTCTTGTGAAAATTTAACACCAGTAATACTGTTATTATTTCTCTTACTACCAGTGCCTTTTTAAAATCCATTATTTCGAGCCATTGTTTTTTATTGAACAGCTATTTCTTTTATTTAAATTGCACTTTTTAATATATTAAGCTAAGAAACACGATCATACTATCTCCCTTCTCAAAAATAGTGATGTCATTTTCAACCAATAACGTGATCCTGCCACTTTGAAATTTAGTCGCTCATAAAGTATGGTATTTTCATTTTTGTTCTCGATTCACGTTGTTTAGCTTGATTACTCCCCATCATCAAGTATATCCAATATTTATTCAGATAATTTGAATAAGTTTTATAGAACTTACCTGCGTATTCTGGTGATAGATCCAAATGATTGATACTTATGCCACTAAATGTAAATCCGAGAGCTGGTATAGAACACATGAAACAAAGTACAGAGAGGGTGGTATCACATCCAGCGAGACATACTCCCAATAATCCAACAGACACCCACAGAAAGGCTAAGGTATCAGATTACCAGCACAAAAGAAAAATAATATTTTAATGTATCTATATAAAAATCTATCATTATATTTATAAATAATCATTATATTAATTAAAATTGAACATTATTAAAATTAGGGAAGGAAGGAATAATTCGATAATTAACTAATTTCTTAATCGTTAAATAGCTTACTCGTAGACTTGTATTTTACACTAATGGAAAAATTTTCTCTATGAAAAATGTAGTGACAAGTTTGCATATAAATTAAAAATAGTTTGCAAACAATTACCACAAGATACTTAGATTTTGGTTGACAGGAATATTCTGTTTTTCCTATAGTGAGTGCTGAGAGAAATCAGTAACCAGTCTTTATCGTATTGAAATCGAGACGTGATCCAAGGATGGAGCGTTGCATGTGAGTGGTTAAACACTTGGTTTCATTTTCAGAACCTGTATTTTCATCAAAAATATACAAACTGGTATGTCGATCATTTCTTTACTAGTATTTATGCCGGATGAACGAGATATTCGAATCCACCAAAATATTTTAATATTAAAAATTTTGAAATTGGGTTATTCCTTGCACATACCTGACAACTTGAACGGTCGTTGAAAAAGATTTTATTAAGAGTTGGTAGCCAAGAAATCGATCTTATCTACATATATTTTTTAAAATTCTTTTAAAACTTTAAACTTCAAGATTTAATAAGCTAAAACGTAAATGTTGCTACCACTAAGAAAATCATTTCTCTATGGTCGCACAAGTTGGCAGATATATTTGAATGTTTAACACGTTCACGCCGGGGTGACCCGCCGGTGGGTCACGCTAGATTTTCTCATCTTGGCAGCTCACCGGAGTAAAAACTGGTAATAATAAATTTCATTTTTTAGTTTTTTTCCGGGAATAATAAAAATCCATAACTACCAATTGTTTTTAACGGATGCAATTTTCATATTGAAATGCTTCTTCGCCGTGAGAAATTTCCTTACAGTGAATTGTTACTGTTGAGAACAGATTAACTCCTCCCGAATATTATCTAATATTGAAATATTTCTTCTACCAGTATTTTCTCTTTTCCCGAACCAGTATTTTCACTTTTCCCGGCGTGAACGTGTTAAACCGAATTGATAATTGTATCCGCTCATTTAAATCATTATTGTGCTAGAACTTTCCTTATAAAGACGTTTTTCTCATCATAACGAATTGTGAACTCGGTAGTTAAATGGTTAATACTAGTAAAAGTGATATGGTGAGAAGTTAATACTGGTGAAAGTGAAAGAGGATGTTTAGTAAGGTGTTCGCAAGTTTAGACAGAGAAATGAATAAAGTAAGCTTTTCTTATTTTCGTTCATATAACCACTGACTTTCTTACGTTTGAAGCAGTACATTTAAAACAATTACCGTATCTCTAACCAGTGAAGTACTCTGCAGAAAAATGCGCTTAAAACTTAAGAAGTTTTGATACTAAAAATTTCTGAGAAACTGAAGCAAACGATTGATGTTCTTCTGTGTCTTTATAGCTAATACAGAGTTCCCGCTAATTTCGAAAATTAGGAATGATAATAAATTTAGGTTAATACGAAGTTTCCTCTTTTAAGATATCACACTAGCATTTAGAGCTCTAGTTGTCAGGGCTGTTTGTACTCCAAACGAAAGAAAAAACTGATTGTAAAACCAATCCATTTCCTGCTTGTAATTGCGTGGAATAAATGTCTACGTTACCAAAACTTATTAAAAATTATTTTCGATTCAGCGCAAAAAAAAAAAAGCCAAAACATAATAACTTTTGATAAGTTCGAGTAGCCAGTTTTCTTTTTTTCCGGGGTACAAACAGGTATCAGTGTAATATATATATATATAATGAATGGTCATAAAATGGAAAAAAAAGCTATGCAATATTTACACTATTTGCAATATTTCTTGGATAGTATACCATCCAATAAGAAAAAGACTGCGAATAGGTTGCGTGTGATATTTTCATTTAAGATTTTTTTGCTGAAGATATGATTAAGTTTTGCTTTGTCACATTTTTCTGCTTAACTGAAAAAATGGCATTCGTTGAGGCAATATATTGAGATAGCATCTATAATTTAGCAAGTGATCTGGTGTTGTGCACCATGTTTAAAGCATAGGTGGCTATTAATATTATGGTTTGCACTTATATTAGTTTAAGCATAAGTGGCTATCGGTCTTATGGTTTGAACTTATAGAAGTTTTTTTTTAAGTGAAGCGGCATATTTGAGTGTTTTCCTATGATTGGTCTTAGAGCTTTGAGTGATCCTCAGATATTTGTGATGGTGTCTGTTTTATGGTCATTCCATGTAAGATTATTATTTAATGCCAGTCCAAGATATTTAGTTTTCTGCACCACAGGAACAGTTAGGTTGAAGATTTGTATGCTTTAAAAAAATGTACGAATTGTAAAAAAAAAATTCCTTGCCCCTGTCGATGGTAAACGTAAATGACGATGTAAAAGTGAGAGCAAATTTTAAGTATTTTTTTTTATTTATTTTTAAAATAAGTATAAAATATTTTGAAAACACTTACGAAACAGTGTGCAGAATTTTCTTATGAAATTGACCGTAGACAGTTGTTTACGAATTAAAATTTCAGCTATCCATCCAACTATTGTGGAGACAATAGCTTTGAGAAAAAATGGAAGTGACGAAAGTAGCCCATTCTATAATGAAAACAGGGACATTTGAATCAAAATAAAGTGATATTAGTTACACACCCCAAAACTACTACGAAATTTCCGTAGATTCAGGAAATATTTTTCCTTTATTAATAGCAAACGTAATGTTCTGATAATTTAATAAATTAAAATTTTGACGAAACTTGCCCACAGTAAAATATAAATAATTTAAATATATCAAAATTTACAGATATGACCAGGACAGTCCCCTAGTACTCTTATTTTTTTTTTAAATATTTTATTCAGTGGTAGACAATAAAATACTAAATCTTACAGAATTTTTGATGTTATGCCAACATAAGACCATATGAAGATTATGAAAATAAAAGTAAGCGATTTGTGCTATTTTATTTTTGCTTTGGTTCTTGATTTCCTCTTGATCAAATAATTCACGTTAACGTGAAATGTTGAGATTTTGTAGATGCCAACTTTTACGAAACAGATGACAAATTTGGAAATTTTGGGGAGCAAATTATCTCGTTATTTTTAAAGTGGTAGCAAAAAGAATGCGTATTATTATTTTAACAATGATTTTTTTTACAATAATTAGCAATTAATTACAATTATAATTGTTAAAATTAACAAGTTTTAACAATTATTTACAATAATTTTGATTATTTCACGTACTAATCTAAATAAACATAGAGAATGCCTAACAATATGCTTAAAAAACATTGAGTTTTTGCATAGTTGAAACAAATCCTAACTACAATTGCATACCTACCAACTTTTAAGCTTCTCAAAAAAGTATTTTCTTTGTAGCAGTGAAATAATTATAATTTAAGTGATATTGTATTCAAATATTTAATTTATTTTTATTATCACATTTAACGCGATAAGAAAACAAGTTGGGCTTTTGTATGTATTTTTAATCTATTTAAATTCAGTGGTATTTAAAAGTTTGTTAAAACGAACTTGTTAATATCTTCCAAGAAATACATAAAAATTGGAAGGTCGGCAATTCTAAAATCAATTGTCCTTTCGCTGCTACGAACTTTAAACCCTTGAGGACGGGTGATTCATAAAAGCATTCATACAAAATCAGAATCAGGATGTAAACAAATAAAAAACCGTAGCTTAAATGTAGGCGTTGCTAATTTAACAGACTTACTTTGCTTTTACTTTAATATTGTTAGTTTAATAATATATATAATCAGTGTTAGTTCAAAGTATAACTAAATAATTTTATTTTGGCCTAAGTAGCCCACAAATAAACTGCTAAAGAATTACTTTGATTACTAGTTTTACCTTTTTACCCTGATTGATACGGTTTTATGCTGGCACGTATTTGTGACAGTCTGCGCGAATGGGTTAAACTGAAAGCGTGGAAAACTGTCATTTATTGGTTGATGAGAAAAATCGTACAAAATGCTAAAAAATAGTTTCTCTGTAACGAAATTTCTCTGTAAAATTTGGTAGATTGTCATAAGTGTGCCAATACTTTTCTAATTTTTAAAGATAGTGAACGAACAGTTTTTTTTTTTGAAATAGTATGCAAATATTAATCTTAGGTTAGAGTAGCTTCACTGCATTTTTTTCTCATGCACACACACACACACACACCACACCCTACTACTTGCTCACTCAGATATTCCTACAGAACAGGAAATCACAGTAGAAAGTACACAGATGTCAAGATAACTATAGCTTTCAAGAGTTTAAAGGGTGTGAATGAGCATTTTTTTTTTGTTAAAAAATCATTAATCTTAGAGTTGTTTTAGTTCACCTTTTCTCTCATGCACACACAGCGCTAGTCCCCACGCACACTCAGATATTCATACAGAACAGGAAATCACTGCAGACAGTATACAGTTGCCAAGATAACTATAGCTTTCAAAGGTACAGAGAGTGAATGAAAAGAGAAAAAAAAATTTGATATAGTATACAAATCAGATGTATTGATCAGATTTGTTTCAATGCACATTTTTTCCCATTCAGAAACTTTTCATTCAAATCCATTTTATATGAACAATTCCTTTTCTTTATTGTTCCAAAAATAGAAAATAGATATTGCTTTTTCTAAAAGAAAAGATAGTGCATATACTATGGAAAAATCCATCACTCATTTTGTAGTCAAGACTTCAAAACACCATCCTTTTTGTAGTCCATATTTAAAGACATAGCAATTTCTAAAGGAATTTCATGAAAAAGAAGTTCGTTTCTGAATTTAATAGTTCTTCATAAATTAAGTCTTAAATTAAAATAAAAGTTCAAGTAATGAGTAATGAGTTATAGGTTCATAAATTTCAATAAAAAATAACTAAATCATCTGAAAAAAAAACTTTTCTTAAATAATGTCAGTAAAAAGTAGAAATTTTTTTTTTCGATGTTTTAGTTATAATACTTGTTTTTCGCCCGAAAAAAGCAAGTTAAAATACTAAGTTTGAAAAGTAAGGAGGTACAAGCAAAAGGTACATACCTTTTAACTTGACATTCGTTACTTATGACGATCGAAAAGTATTGCCCATAATGGTTCACACTAACCTTTTCTATGTCAAAGTGCAAAATCGTAGCAAAAAACTGCGGCAGGTCACTGATAAATATGTAAAAACACCACTCCATGCCAATTTGCGTGAATACAAGTGCCCAGAATGGTACTGATGCAAACACTTTCATCCAAGGAAATGATGGTATCTAAAATGAACAAAGGAAAAAATAAATTAATGTCAAGTAGAATACATACTTTTATATATTTAGGTAGCTCATGTTTATTAGTTTAAGCACACTTCTTTCGTCATTTCAGCTTCTTGATTTGATGAGATGTACTGTACTTCTTCTTGAGTAATCAGAGGATGAGATTCTGGAGAATCAGTGACAAAGAGGCACCAAATAACTACGACGATGCAGTTTGTGAAACCTCGAAATAAAATAGAAAAGGTTCTCGATAAGAAAACAATTTAAAATAAAATTTGTTCAGAAAAAAGCTATTAAAATGAATGAAGTCGTCAATAAAATGCGAATTAAAGATACGGACAGCGTAGCGTCATTGGGAGGAATAAAAAATGTGCTGAAGCAGTGCTGTTGGCTGTAGTGTTATTTTTTATCGTCCAACGCATTAAGAATTGACTTTTCTTTAACATAAGTTCCTGTATAACCAAATCTGGTTCTAGAATAACAAACATCCACAGATTAGTTACTGGTTTTGATGTACCATATTATCTTTTAGCTTAGCTTAAAATCGCTACAGATTCCTGAAGGCTCTTTAAAGAATAAAAAAGAAGATACATCATTTTTAATACGTCCAGCATATTTTTCTGTAACAGAACAGCGCAAACTCATTAATTTTGAACTTAAGCATGGTTATAGTTACTCCATTCTGGTTAAAAGTATTTAGGATCATAACTTTTAGAAAATAGTATTTAATACGGACAGAAAATAATAGTCGAAAGTTACAGAAAAACATCATATGCACCATGGTTATAAACCATTTCACAGTTGCAACAAAAATGTTTTTCTGCGCTGGTCACAACTTCCCTGTGGTCATAATTAACTCACTTGACCCTATATAAAAATGTAAGCTTTTCTAGATATTAAGATAAGTTCGCCCACAACGCAGAGCAAGTTGACATCTCTGAATTTTCTAACCAAATGAAGCAATGTAATGTTTAAATCCAGGTATGACATCGGCGACTAAAAATGCAAAAATCTATTGATTAAAAACTATAATTAGCGACTTACTACAGCATATTTTTTCCAGAAAGTGTATGCAAAGAATGTTTTACTTTGATATGAATAATTTTGCTTTGATATGATTTCGCTATGCTTTCAATATAGTTTGGTATGAATTCGTTTTGATACGATTTCGCTTTGATATGAATAATTTGCAATGTAAGTCCTGGTGGTTACAATGATAGAATAATTAAAAAGATTAAATTTGTAAAACTCAATTGAGTTTCAACCACTTTTTAAATTTTTTTGTCACCCACGGTCGCAGTATACTGTTATAAATAAAGTAGTGGTCGAAGTGCTATGACAGTCTACGTTTGGATAAAACGAGATATTTTAACCACTTAGAATTAACCCTTGCGAAGGCCGAGGGAAGTATACTTACCACCACTTTTTTACCACTTTTAATTTAGATTTCCATTTGTTAATTACTTCAGCTTTCTTGAAGTGCGTTTGAATAAAATTGGTAAAAATTTGTTAGTTTAAAAACAATTTATAAAAGTTATAAAATAAGTAATTCTTATTGAAGTTTGTAGCATTTATAAAATTTATATAAATAAAGAAAAATAAAAGTCAATATTTCCGAATAGGCCGTGTTAAATATATTTACCACCAAATTGCATGTTTATAAGCTAAATGAGTTTTTTTTCTTATATCAATTACTATTCTTAAAACAATTCCAAAAATACTTTAATTTACCTTTACTAGAAATAAATAACCCATTAAAGGGTTAAATACGTTGTTAGTTTCGAACTAAATTAAAACTATTGCTTGTTAATTTAAAGCAAATTTTCAATCAATTTATAATTTTTTAAAAGATACCGCGCACACTAGTTGCTTAAGAGGATATCGGAATGCATTTGCACTAACACACTTTTCATATTCTTATACTGATAAAATCAATAGAATTTGGAATTATTACCAAACACGTAGAATACAGATGGCCATCCGTTTAATAAACCACTATTGCATAAAAGACCAGAGATTGTCATTCCTATGACGGTGCCAAAACTCATTCCACTGCAAAGAGCTGCAGCAAAAAGACCTCTCTCTGAATCTGGTAACCACATTCCACTTAATGAATACAGCGCAGGCATCATTACACTCTGGAAAGAAAAAGCCACCGCATTTTAATAATCATCCGTTTTCGAGTCTTCAGAGCTACTGAATACATTTAATAATTATAGAAAAAATAAATTCAGATTTTGTATTTATTTAGTTCATTCATTTTAACAGATTTCGGTTCTGTACATAAGCGCTAAATTATTTATTCTAGTATCCAACGGAAGTAAAAGTAATTTTGCTGTAAGATTAAACATTACAAGTTTTTTTGCCTCATTTCTGTCTAGAGACCTTTTTAACTTGTTTACCAACCGAGTACAGGCATCACCTCCTACATCAAAAAGCCTCCACACGGTCTTTTATAAGGGTCTGGTTCATTTCATCGACAATCACTTCATCGACAGGCCATTTCATCGACACCACTTCATCGACAGGCCATTTCATCGACTAGGTCATTTCGTCGACAGGCCGTTTCCTCGACAGGGTTGTTTCGTCGACAGGCCATTTCGTCGACAGGGTCATTTCGTCGACAAGTCATTTCGTCGACAGGGTCATTTCGTCGACA